GTGACCAGTTTGTAATTTGCACGTTGTAATTAACTTAGTAGCAAAATATCTGAGTTCAGAGTTACATGAAGCTTTACAGTTTTGTATTAAATCTATTAATCAAATTAAAGCTCAACCTCTTAAATCAAGATTATTTGCCAAACTTTGTGAGGAAAACAATGAGTTATTTAACCAATTACTTCTGCACACCGAGGTTAGATGGTTGTCTAGAGGTGTATGCTTGCAACGGCTCGTCAATTTATTTGACTCCACGACAGAATTTCTGAACGAAATAAATCCTGTTCTAAGCAATGAACTCCAAAACAATAAGAACCATATTTTTTATTTAGCAGACTTATTTGGAAAATTTAATGACGTTCAAACAAAAAACTGCAAGGAAAAGATGTAACAATTATCCAAGCTCGGACAATACTGTTAGGCTTCCAAGTAAAATTAAATTTATTTAGATCTTCATTGCTACGTAAGGATTATAAGTATTTTTCAAATCTGCAACAATTAAAAATAAAAGAAGAAGACTTGGAAATATATACAAATCATCTTCAAAAATTAAGCGACGATTTTAAACTGCGCTTTGTTGATTTGGAAAACATCGACATCCCTGATTGGATTATTGCGCCATTTTCGGCGCAAATTGATAACGTCGACATCAACATACAAGATGAGCTTGCTGAACTATTGTCCGATCTTGAAGCAAAAACGCTTATTAAAAATTTGACAATACATAAATTTTGGACTAATATAAATATAAAGCAAAAATATGTGAAACTTTACGAAATGGCTCAGCCATTTATGCTGGCGTTTCCAAGTTCGTATATGGTTGAAGCCGGTTTCAGTCACGTTAATTCAATTTTAACTAAAAACAGAAATAAATTAAATGTGGAGCTTCGAGGGGATTTACGGTTAAAATTGACTAATTTCGAACCCAATATAGCGAACCTTGCCAAGAAACACCAGGCACACTCATCTCATTAAGAAGTAAAAAATCTGTAGCTACTTTACTTACTGTTTCTGATTTATTAAATATTTAGACTAATATATATAGTTTTATTTTAATTACCTGAAAATTACCTTTGTGGGGGTCTATGGAGATTTCGAAAAATTATATAGGGGCGATGATCAAAAAAGTTTGGCGACCCTGCTTAAGTTATGCTATAAAAGTTTCTTATAGTAAAAAAAAAATTTTTTCCTCCCTCTTCCTCAGGTATGTTTTAGTTAATCTTGTATTCATTTGTATTGTGCGATCTTTGTTTTAAACTAAACTTAATTATAAAATAAATTAAGTTTTCTGAGTGGGAGAGTTGTAAATCTTGTTATTTATAAATAAATATAATTATTGTTGAAGTGGCAACGCCATATTTGTATTAAAACCGTTACTTAGCTACGTGAGATATTGTTTTAAAAAGATCAGAATTCTGAAGATTTTAGCAGCTAGGAGTAGTATGAAAATTTTGCCACTTAAGAATTGTATAAAATTTGTCTATCACAGTGAACTAGAAATAAAATTTATGTTCTACTAAGAAGATTGTCTGTTTTGTAAATTACTGCAAAATACATTACAGTATCCAAGCTGATACTATTTGAGGACACAGAATACCTAGAAAAAGAGTTAGGTGAATTATCTGGAACTGTGAAAACAATTTTAAAGGAACAGTAAATGGAGCTCAGTTGAGTAAGTATACAGAGAAATTAGTGAGTATTATTGGAACTCTTGGCAGATCTGTTGTAATTTGAAAAGGAATTTCACAGGTATGATGAAATTAATCCTAGAAGAGTATATACGTATAGAACTGTGATGGAACTCAGCTGGATTTGCATAAAATCTTTCTGAAGGTGTCACAGTATGGTTTCCGTTTTAGTTCGATTACATACCTAAACAGCATTTAGATCAGTAGAAAAATGTCGGTGAAAAGATAGCAAAGAATGTGTGAATTGAATCTAAAATTAATAAGTATGCAGAAGCAGAATCAGAAATGCTGCCTGGATCAGCAGAAAACTACTTACTGATATTATACAAAAGTACAGAGTTGAATCCAATCATGTGCGTTATCGAAGTAGATAACACGAAAATTGTCATTGAAAATGCCCAGAAAAAAATACTGGATTGTATTAAAACGTTTTTATCCGTCTTTTAATCCTCATTTGATCGCTTATACAGAGTTATGCTTGGCGACCGCCTCCCTAAGACGACTAACTCTGCAAATGATTAGTTTCTATATAAAAAAACACAAGTATTGAACATTCTTTTCTACAGGGATCACCTCCTCAGAAGAACAAAATCAGCTGGAACCGCAGATGGTAGCTTACTTGTTTCACATAAACTTTAGTTTTCATAAGAAAGTAAATGCTTGATGGCATCTGCAAGAATACTGAAAACAAATTTCAAGATTATGAAAGTATTATCGGTGCTATTTTAATAGACGGTTGCACGGATTTTGGCGATTTTTTGGCAGTTTTCTTTTGGCGAGTAATACAACTTATGGTAAACCCATTGCTGGATAAGTTATTTATGGTAACCGATACTTTGTTGTCATTTTATTTAAAAAAATAAGCGTTTTATTGTGCATAAATTCCGTGTTTTAAAATATTATTTATGGCTTTTAAATATTAAAAATCAATTTAATTTTGCATTTTTATTGAAATAAAATTTTTATTGTTTATCATATTTTATGAAATTTTATGTTGTGGATGATGTAATCAATGACGTCACTTACTTAAAAGTAATTCGTTTAATATGTATAAATTTAATCTAATGTTTTAAACATTATTTATGGCTGTTAAATATTAAAATACAATTTAATTTTGCATTTTTTTTAAAAATGATTTTATTATGTATGAATTTTTAAATAATTTTAATTCTAGCCGTGCTGTAATGAGCTCTCTGATTGGTTATAGAATATTTGTGCATTAACGAGCTGTAATTAGCTCCCTGATTGGTTACTGACAATTTGTGCATTTCCGCGCCGTTTTAAAATTTAATTCATATCTTCGAATTCCTTCAAATGTTATCTAAATCATGATTCTGATTTTTTGTGGTACTTACCAATAACACAGGTTATATACTCCAAAAAATGTAAGTACAATTTTTCTTTTATTTTATATTTGTATACTTCAATTTTGTTAAAAAAATTAATACACTATTTTCAGAAATGCTGAGATAATTATGACCATATGTTTTAATGTTAATTAATATTCATATAACGTATTTAAAGTATTGAATTTAATAATATTCTACTTCTTTTAAATGTTGCTATGATTGGGTTTTTAATTCGATATTCAATTCATAATATTTTATTCTAATTAAAACGTTGACCCAATGTTTTTATAGCGGTGTTTTATTCTCTTTTTTGCTATATGAAAGTAAAATAACCTACTTTAGTATTTTATCCTCATAGTAAATGTATGTATTTACACTGCCTGCCATCTTAAAAACGCATTTTCAACAAATTAATTAAAATTAATCCATTACTTTTAATGATATTTTTTTTTTTTTTTTTTTTTTTTTTTTTTTTGAAGTTTCGAATACTTTACTATGCGTAAAAACAGCGTTTTTCAAGATGGCTGACGTTTGTAAAAAATCGCGCCAACGTAAATCGCCAAAAATCCGTGCAACCGTCTACCAAAGTAGCACCGTATTATCCTAACTTGTTAAATTTACAGAGGTCTTTCAAATGCGAAAAAGCCAGTTTTCTAAAGTTTTTTTAATTACTTTAGTTGATTCATACTTCATTTGTCAGGAGACAGTCAATAGAAAAATCTGCAAAAATTACGCATAATGGTTTTGATCTCGTGCCAGGGCCCTCTAATTTATGTCTGGAATTGCTATTATGATAGCTGTTGTGATTTTTGCCGAAGGTGCTTAAGATTTTAATTTTTTTAGCATAGCAGTGTCCATGGTAATACCATTCCGTTTGAAAAAAAGTCCACCAGATCAATATCGGGACTTATGGCAGGCCAGGGAATTGATCCATCCCGAATAAAATATTGTGTCAAATTATGACATTTAGGTTCCTGGATCAGTAGTTTTGGATGCGAGAGATATGACCGAGATTTAGAGAATCAAATTACATCAAAACGTCACTACTGTTTTGCTCGTCAGTACTGTTTACCGTCAATGAGCACAGCTTTAGTATCGCCCACCCAGAATTTTAACTAAACAAATATCGCCAAGAGCGGCGATAATGATATGATGTGGTAACCCATACAATTCGCCAAACGCAATGTAAACAAGAGGATGAAATTACGGTTACAGCTAATATTAGTCATAAATTATGTCATCAGTCATTAGTAAATGTCAGGTACATTTACTCAATTTCAATGCAAATTACCGAGATATCCATTTACTCAAAGTTAAAATGCACGTGCCCATGTATTCTTACGTTTTCCGGCATAGATTTCACTTTAAAATTTGTCTCGTGCTGCATTGCACGGGGAAAATACAACATTTTTAATCAGAATTCTACTAAAATTAATATTAAATAAATTTTTATAGAATTCTACTAAAATTAATATTTAAATACACTCGAGAATAAAAAACGATAATTCCATCATCACAATTCGTAATACAGTGTTATTCGGGCTAAAAAGATGTTTCTACATTTTGACACTCGAGAATAAAATACGATCTCTGTGTGCGAATTGTTTAACGTTCAGTTACCTTGGAAAAATACTATTTTGGATATATTTTTTGGCTACTTTGGAGGTGAGAGTTTTTGTATTTAGCTCGCTTTTGTATTAGGCTTGCTCTAAACCTGCTGTTAGTGATGTTGTATTTAAGTATCAGGAGATTTTAAAAGAAAATTTAAGGTGGGAGTTTTCAAACAAACAAGCGTAATAGTTTGGGAAAGCCAGGCATTCCAAACAGATATTTTATGTATGAATTAACAAGAGAGTATGAACTTTTTAGAGGATTTTTTGATGAATTGTGGTTTACTGAAGGATAACGTTTGTTGTGAAAAATGTAAGATACCATGCGGGTTAGTTAATCAGAAAAAAGTCATCGAATGGTAGTATTTTGGAGATGCAAGAAGTGTAGGGCTGAAAAATCAATTAGGCGAGGATCTTGGTTCGCTTGTAGTAAGCTCAATTTACAGGAAATCTTTTTCTTAACATGGGAATTAATTAAGGGTACGGCGTCTAGTAATATTGAAGAGGATTTTGGCTTTTCTTCTACGACTTTAGCAGACTGGCGTCAATTCGTTAATGAACAAGTGTTAGATTATGTTGAATTGATGTCAAATAAAATTGGTGGTGTAGGCAAAGTTGTGGAAGTAGACGAATCAAAATTTGGTAAAAGGAAATACAACAAAGGGCATTATGTCGAAGGTCAGTGGGTTTTTGGGGGTGTAGAGCGTGATTCGGGAAAGGTAGTTTTAGTGGCTGTTCATGAGCGGAGTCAAGAAACTTTAATTGCATTAATTAAACAATGGATAGAGCCAGGCACTACTATCATCTCGGATTGTTGGAAAGGTTATAATCACGATGTGTTGACTAAAGAAAGATTTAAACATTTAACCGTTAACCATTCACTGAATTTTGTTGATCCAAGTACGGGCGCTCACACCAATACAAACGAAAGCACTTGGAGACACGTAAAAATACATTTCCCAACATATAATATGCAAAATGATGCGTCTTTCCACTTGGCTATGTTTATGTTCGAAAAAAGTTGCTATGAAAAGAAAATTGATTTGTGCAATGCATTTTTTGAGATTATCAGAGATGTAGATTGGGAAAATTTTACTTATAACCTTTAGAGTGTTTTCATTGCTTAGTAGAAAAAAAGAAACATTAAAACCAAACCAAAATTACAATTGCTGAAAAATGGCAAGTGTGTAAAAAGAATGGACAAACATTAAAATTAGGAAAAAAAAAGTTTAAAAATATTCTTAAAATATGTAATAAAAAATGTCCATAAATTTGTAATATTGCAATACAAGTGTACACATAATCAACCATTATAATAGTTTTTTATGTAGACACTTAAATTGCATACGAGTGGAGTGAGGGTCCTCGTCCCTCACTCTGGAAACTGTGCATTAAATATGATTGCACAGGCTAATGGTTTCACAAATTTAATTTTTTTGTTTTTCCCGGGGGGGGGATCTCGTAAATTTCTGTTTTTATTTTCTTTTTATAGCCTGTTATTTATGGTTAAGATTATTGGCTCAATCCTGGAATAGGCTGCACCAGTCGATACGTTGTTTACTTGTCTTAGGCTTGGGCACACCTTTTTATGACGTAATATTGTTACATTGTTACGCCTTTTCTTAAAAATAAGTTATATTTAAGCTATAGCTTCTTATTTAAAGGGTTATTCGCGCAGCATTCCTGAGTATATGAGCAATGAAGAGTTTATCAATGTCTTAATTTTTAAGTTAAAAGAGATCACTATGTACATGGGCAAAGCCAATGTAGGTGCGCAAAGCCGAGGTTGTGCTCGATGCTGAGTTTGTGTTATTCTCTGATTTTTTAAGTGAAAATAGATCGGTGTGTACATGGGCAGAGCACTACAGACCAGGCTTTCGGCCTCAGGTATAACCAATCGGAATAGTGCCTGACCTGTAGAAATTATCTACTATCTACTTCCGCCACTGCCAGGGCGAGCCCCGCAAACCAGCGGCATTTATTGAGTCTAAGTCAGAAGTTACCGATTCACAGTAATGGTTGTTACAATGGCACCTTTGCAGACGTTGTCTGCTACATGAAAAGATGTAAGTGCTGTACTGAGCTGAGTATTATTCATACGCGCGTGTAATTACAATTGCTCTGATTGTGTAATGTTCCATCGGCAGTAATGGGTTAAGAGCACTGCATGAAATTTAGTACATTGAGTTAGTAAGGTGTCCGGACTTCACTACAAATCGTTATTGGTGAACTTGGCTTAATCTATGCTGCGTATCTGTCCGTGTCACATACTAAGACATACTGTACATACATACATACATAGCATGATGATATACATAGCATGAAGATTACATACATAGCATGAAGATTATACATAGCACTAAAAATTACACATAGCATTAAAAAAATATACATAGCATCAAACATTATTACTGTTTTGCTCAATGAACAAATTATATAACTTACTATCCGCACAAATATTGTACTCATTAGTAGCTGTGCACACAGAATATTATAAACATTAAATATCCTAGCAGCCACACGTTATTTACATATTACATAATATATGCGTTTCATAATATGCGCTTACATAATATATAGGATTATAAGATAAATAATTAAATACTCGAATGCAGAACATTGCAATTTGAATAGGTAAGTAAATGAATGATACTGAGATACGTTAATAACGATTAATAGTGAGTAACTAAAGAAAGTATTTAATACTAAAGCTCATAAGTGCATAACAAAGTTCGCAAATAGTACTATAAGTTTCAAAATTTCTTAATTTAATGCAAAACATACAGCTGTGTTTCAGGAATTTTGTGCGGAAATCGAAATGATGCAACTATCTTATAACTATTAATACTAAGTAAGCGCATGATAAATTCTAGATTAGATATGCTTGCTTAGTAGGTTACACGATTTGCAATAAGGCATAATTACATAGCAGTAAAATAATAAAGAATATAGGGAAGTGCTATGGCTGACATGACTTAGTGCGCATTTTGATTACTGTGTACATGGGCAATGTAGTGCGCAATGCCGAGGTTGTGCGCGGTACCGAGTTTGTGCGATTCTATAATGTTTTTTTAAGTGAAAATAGATCGATGTGTACATGGGCATAGCCAATGTTGTGCGCAATGCCCAGGTTGTGCGCGGTCCGATTTGTGAAATTCTAGGATGTTTTTTAAGTGAAAATAATCGATGTGTACATGGCAGAGCCAATGTGTGCGCATGCCGAGGTTGTGCGCGGTGCCGATTTGTGCAAGTCTAGGAATTTTTAAGTGAAATAGATCGATGTGTACATGGGCAGAGCCAATTTTGTGCGCAATGCCGAGTTTTGTGCAATCTAGATTTTTTTTTTTAAAGTGAATATATCGATGTGTAATGCAGAGCACAACAGACCAGGCTTCCGGCCTTAGGTATAACCAATCGGAATAGTACCTGACCTGTAGAAATTATCTACTATCTACTTCCGCCACTGCCAGGGCGAGCCCCGCAACCAGCGGCATTTATTGAGTCTAAGTCAAGTTTACGATTCACAGTAATGGTTGTTACAATGGCATCTTGGCAGACATAGTCTACTACATGAAAAAATGTAGGTGTTGTACTGAGCTGAGTATTATTCATTACGCGCGTGTAATTACAATTGCTCAGATTTGTGTAATGTTTCATCGGCAGTAATGGGTTAAGAGCACTGAATGAAATTTAGTACATTGAGTTAGTAAGGTGATCTGACTTCACTACAAATCATTATTCGTGAACTTGGCTTAATCTATGCTGCGTATGGGCAGTGCCAATGCTGTGCGCAATGCCGAGGTTGTGCTCGGTGCCGAGTTTGTGCAATTCCAGGATGTTTTTTTAAGTGAAAATAGATCGATGTGTACATGGGCAGAGCCAATGTTGTGCGCAATGCCGAGGTTGTGCGCGGTGCCGAGTTTGTGCAATTCTAGGATTTTTTTAAGTGAAAATAGATCGATGTGTACATGGGCAGAGCCAATGTTGTGCGCAATGCCGAGGTTGTGCGCGGTGCCGAGTTTGGGCAATTCTAGGTTGTTTTTTAAGAGAAAATAGATCGATGTGTACATGGGCAGAGCCAATGTGGTGCGCAATGCCGAGGTTGTGCGCGGTGCCGAGTTTGTGCAATTCTAGGTTGTTTTTTAAGTGAAAATAGATCGATTTGTACATGGGCAGAGCCAATGTTGTGCGCAATGCCGAGGTTGTGCGCGGTGCCGAGTTTGTGCAATTCTAGGATGTTTTTTTTTAAGTGAAAATAGATCGATGTGTACATGGGCAGAGCCAATGTAGTGCGCAATGCCGAGGTTGTGCAATTCTCAATATTTTTAAGGTCGAAATAGATGGATGTGTACATGGACACCGAGCTTTGATGTTTTTCGAGCGAATACGGATCGTTGTGCACAAAGGAAAACGAGATAATGTGTGATGACGAGCTGTGATGTAACGTATTTTATATGCAATGTTTAACATATCTTTTTGTGTATTTTAAATTTGTTGTTGTTTTAATTGTGAGTTTATATTTAAGACAATTTTTTCATTTAAATTGTATTTTAATTTTTTGGTTTTGATATGTTTATAATGCTTTCCGACTTACGATATATATCGATAGCCCGACGATCTACTCAACAGTAGCAAAACTGTAAACTTTGACCCTATAAGTATCTTTTACCTCATTATTATAATACGTAGTTTTTGCAATCGTAATCGCACTTGATAATATGAGTTCTTTGATAATACAGTGTCTCACAAAAGTGATGGGACACTTGTGCTTTACAAAAGGAAACTGTAATAAATAAATTAAAAAAAAAACGTAAAAATTTTTTGTGGGTGTGTTTCATATTTAAATTTAGTAACAATTATTACATAACATACATTTTTCTCAAAATATTAATTTAATAAAAATACAATTGTTTAGAACGGAGCAAAAAATGGTCCACATAAGTGATGGGACACCGTTAGATACTAACTACTATGTACTATGCAACAAAAATCGTCTGAAGTAAGCAATTAAAAATATTTTTTGGGGTTTTTATTTTTACTCAAAAGCAATTGGCAATAATTTATAAAATCTTCTGCAGTATTTCTCTCCAGTTTGTTTTGGAATTTTTGAGTTTTTTTTTATCTCTGTGTAGCCATGAATGCTAAACGAAAAGAAACTTTGCCTGAAATTCGAAAATTAGTTATTAATTTTGCATATTGAACGTAGGAAATTCTATTAGAGAAACTGCTGAAAACAGTTAACCTGAGTCATTCAACAGTTTTTCAATATCATTAAACGATATAAAAAGAATCATATGATTCAGGATAACAGAAGACCTTTTCCGACCATCAAAGCTATCCAAATGGAATAAAGCGAATTATCGTTCGGAAATATTAAAAAAAAACTCCAAGAATGAGTGCTCCTATAAGTTGCTGTCTGATTTACAAGCATTATATGGAGTAATTGTTAATCCTGAGACTATTGGAAGAGTAATTAGATATGCTGGATATCACGGTAGAGCAGCCAGGAAAAAATTCTTCATTGAGTGAAAAGAATAGACAACCCTCAGACTGGCTTTCGCAAAATCCAACATAAATAAGGAATTCTGATTACTGGAATGAAGTTATATTTGCTGATGAGAGTAAATTTAATATATTTGATTCTGACGGTAAAATCTTGGTGTGGAGAAAACCCAGGGAAGAATTTCGCAAACAACATTTCATTTCTTCAAAACAACAATTAAAATCGGTGCTTCAAGAAGAATGGGGTAAAATCACTTCAGAAATCGCAAAAAAATTAGTCGAATCCATCCCAAGAAGATTAAATCATGTTTTAAAAGTAAAAGGAAATCCAACAAAATATTAAAACCTTTTATAAAGTAACTGTATGTGTGTGTGTATGTGAAGCATTGCTTAGTGTTCCTAATTTGTAGTATTTATTTTCTTATAATATTTTCTTTCATTGCGAGAAATTAATTTTTTTATTTATTTATGTGTAGAATTCTAGTATGCCTGCCTACAGAGAATATAATGTGATTTAGGAATTTAAGAACCTGTTTTTCATTAATGTGAAGTTTAAATATTTTAGAAAATAATGAAAATTGTCTACTTCCTGGTATATAAGGGATTA